ATCTTATTTACTTCATCTCCCATCTCCCTTCACGTCGCCAGTCCCTGTCCTCATTTTCCATCTGATCTCCTCTATTAACGTCGCCGCTTTATCAGAGGCAAAACTTTTTTCTCGCGATGAAAAGGCGAACGGCTTAATTCTTGGGACAATTTTCCCTTTTTTTCTTCTTTGAGTCGGTAATTTATATTTTTTCTATATACTTAACGCATTTCTTTTGGGGGGCTGTCGGAAGATAACGTCAGATGAGAAATGAAAAGTGCGAGAACGTCTTCTTTAGGGAGGAAGAGTGTCCGGAATCATCGTGCGAAAATCTAAGGGTAGGCACGCCACGTTTCATTACAATTGGATGAGTGCTGAAGCTCGTCGTGACTACTGGGAAGATAGATGGATAGCAACCGTAAAGACTTATAAATTCAATGGGAGATGAAGTTATATTTTGAATAGGCTTATCAACTCATTGTCTCTGCTTAGACGTGCGCGAAAATAGCTCATTAAATATTCATTTTCCTCCGGACTTCATTCGAGCCCTGTCAAATCCTTTGCTGTAGTTTTCAGAAGGGCTTTGTTAACGAGGCAGATGTTAGGTAAGCGAGACTCTTTAAGATTTTATTTCTTAAACATGAATTTTTCACTGTCGACATTGTAAAATATCCACGTAACGTTTATTTCATTTTTGTTGATAACCAACGTTAACTGAATTACTTTTGTTGCATTCGAGAGAATCGCGTTTAAAAATAAGGGAAAATAAAAGAAAGACACAAACTATTCGTAATGCGATTCAAAATATCATTTAACGAAAAAATAAAACTAGGGAAAACAAGCAGTGGAGTCTCAAACAATTTATGATATCAATTTACTTATTAAATTCGAAACTCAAAAGAAAAGAGTGACTAAAATGATAAAAACAGAGAGATGCATCTTTTGGAGAAAACATTATCACAGCCTTAAAAACAACAACCAAACAAACAAAGATGAATCTGTTGCAACACACAACGTTTCCAGTCTGTTGTTGTTGTTGCATATCGGCCTCGATGAATGCAACGTAGATATGAGGGAAGCGCGTCCAGAAGTGTTTTCAAACCAATTGCCCGAAAATGCGTTTATAAAATGTTCTGTTAGTTTAAACTTTCCTCTCTAATATAAGCATCAGTGTGTTCACTTCCATGAACTCCAGTCATGAGACAAGAGTGCATTAACGTGAACACATCGATGCTTATGTTGCAGATGAAAGTTAAACTAACAGGATATTTGATAATCGCATTTGGACGCATATGCTTTCATATGAGGATATATTATTATTATTTCTTATGAATAAATTCTGGATTCTCTTGTTCATTGTCTCTAAACTAGAAGCTGCATGTTCTTTGAGAATATAATCGTATAACAAAATAGCGGCTAAATGTGGAGGAAGGGAATCTTATCTGAATATTTCTGCATAAAATACAAAATGTATTACAGAAAGATTTAAAAGAAATCTTATTTTTCTTTGAACGCAAGGAAAGCTATAGAATTACAACAATAATATTTTTTTTCCTCTAATTCTCAGAAACTCAAGGATATGAACCTCGACTTGAGAAAAAAAGAGTTTCCCTCTAAGCCAAGTTATCATTTAATATCAACCTCGTTTTAAGTGAAAGGGACTTTCTTATATTTCTTTTGCTTCCATATCATGGTTTTATATGCTGTATATCATTTTTTATTTATTACCTTTTTTCTTTATAGAAGACAGATCATCGTATATAGATTATTATTTCTGCACTCAAGCAAAAGATGGCGATATAATAATTTTCCTAGAATACTCTAAAACCAAACAATCCCTACGATTCACATCAGTCTACAGTCTAGTTCCTTCCCACCGGTCTTTCCTCATTCACATCCGCCCAAACCTTTCCCCTTCGTTCCCCAGGTGAGCCTCTCCATCTGGCCGATCCTACAGGCCCTCAACTTCAGCCTGGTGCCGGAGAAGAACCGCGTGATGGCGATCTCCCTCGGCTCCTTCTTCTGGATGGTGTTCCTCTCGTACGTGCACCACACCCGCGCCGAGGACCTGCCCGCCGAGCTCACCACACGCCGCGTTCACTACGACTACAAGCACGGACCGCGCGAGGCCATCGAGACGTGGGTGACAGCCGCAGCGATCTCCTCGAACGCGGCCGCCTTGCCGAGGACTGAGTAAGTTCCGAGGGGCGGGAGGCACGTGGGATAATTGGACAGGTAGAGAGGTAGAATGGAGAGAGAGAGAGAGAGAGAGAGAGAGAGAGAGAGAGAGAGAGAGAGAGAGAGAGAGAGAGAGAGAGAGAGAGAGAGAGAGAGAGAGAGAGAGAGAGAGAGAGAGAGAGAGAGAGAGAGAGAGAGATAGAGAGAGAGAGAGAGAGGAGAGAGGAGAGGGGAGGGAGAGAGATGGCTAAAGAAATGTCAGAATACCAAAACTAGGTCACTTGCAAAGATAACGCTACATACTTATATAAAGTAATCATCACTCTCTCTCTCTCCTCGCTTCCTCTGTCTCTCCGTACCCCACCATCTACTCTTCCCTCCTTCTCTTCTCCCTCATCTTTTCCCTCCCCCTCGCCTTCTACCGCCTCTTCCCTTCCTCTCGCTTCCCCCCACTTCTCCACCAGCTCTTCTCCCCTCCCGTCCACCTGCTCTTTCCCTCGCCTTCCACCAACTCTTTCCCGTTTCTTCCCTTCACTTTGTCTTCCTCCTTTTCTCTAAATCTTTGCTTATTTTCCCCTCTATCTCTTCTTCTCCCCTATCACTTTCCTCCTCCTCGCCCTGCACCTCCGCTTCCCTCCTTCTCGCCCGCCTCCTGTCCCCCATTTTTCCCTCCTCCTCGCCCTCCTCATGATCTCCCCTCCTACTTAATGATTAAGTTTCCCCTTTGAGTTGTGAATGATTAAGGCCAGTTCATGCACAATGTTTTCCTCTCGGCTTCAAAGGCGAACCCGGCTGTTTGCTCGTTCCCGGCGAGCGCGAGGGTTTCGGTCTCGTGTTTACGGTGCCCGGGGTTAATATTTACTTCTTTTTTTCCTGGCAAATTTTGTAGGAGCAGTTCAGACTCGAGTTCGCTTAATGAGAGATCTTTTTTTCGAAGCGGATAAGATGGAAAGAATAAAAAGGAGGCGAGATGCTCTGAGTCCTTGTACGGGGGAAAAAAGTAAAGTGATCTTCAAGTGTCTTGGGCGATAATGTTCGCAGAAAGCTCTTTCGCTTCCGCCATTTGCCATTCTTTAAAGTTACAGATACTGGGTTTTGAATGATTGTGCTCTGTGCAACTGAGTGTTGATGGAAGTTCTTGATGCAAGCGCTCTGGTATTTAACTTGTAGATCTCACCTCCCTGAGAGAAATAGAACTCGATGAAAAACTGACGGTGATTTACGGCTAACTCTCTTCCTTCTTCCACAGAGGCTGGGCTTCTGTATTCGGTACGACGGCCCACTGTTATTCTGTGAAGAATGAGAAGTCATCCCATGAGGAACGTGACCTCACTGCCAAGAAGACAAGGGACTCATTAAGTTGTGCGAACGGGAAGTTGGACTCCACAACATGTGACGTCATTAAGAAAGAATGAAGCGGTCGGGTTGGACAAACAAGACGCAATAATACATCTAGAAGGAATGATTCGAATGGCTGTGAGGAGAGGAAAGAGTGATATATCTGGCTGTGCAAACAAGAAGGAATGCTCCATCCGTTTCAGGAAATGGGTCTCCTTGTCGGTAGAAGGCTTTGACACTTGCCAAATAAGCATGAGGCTCCATCCACAAGGGCGTAGACTACAATGATAAGAGAGAGAGAGAGAGAGAGAGAGAGAGAGAGAGAGAGAGAGAGAGAGAGAGAGAGAGAGAGAGAGAGAGAGAGAGAGAGAGAGAGAGAGAGAGCTATTTATTCTTAAGGAGTCCCTATAATTTGCTTAACATCAACCTGAAAGGCACAAGATGTCGCCATTATTCCCCAAACAGAAATGCATTTATCCTTCAAAACCGTTTCTATGTAAACTTGAATAGATCTTCCTGCGAGAAACTATGCATAAAAAAGGTCCATTTACGTGCAAAAAACCGTGAACAAAATCAGCGATCCCTTGTGTCCAAAATTCTTAAAATAGACGTATGAAAGCCGAATCGCCCCGAAATTAGCGGCTAATAATTTCTGCGAATAACTTCACCTCGCGAATTCTCGGAGGAGGCTCTGATGGCATCACCGACGGTCGCGTCAAGGGCTGTTTTTTTTATGCAGTGTTTCACGTGAAAAGTTTTATTTTGACTTTTTAGTGTCCCGAGTGATTTATGCATTTGTTGACCATTATCTTATCTCATCGGGGTTTATTATCGCGTGTAGTTAATGGCCTTGTAAGATTTAGTGATTACACAAATTTGTTGATAAAAATGACATATATTTTTTTGTAGTCATTCTCATCTCATTATAAGTCACTGTAATTGCCTAATGCATACATCATATATCTTCTGTGGATATTTTCCATTATAATCATCGTTGCATAACTTATCAGTATTACCTTTAGTTTTGTAGTTAACGGGATAATCATCAGTATATTTTGATTTGTAGTGAAAATAGTTAATAAAGTTTATTATTTTAGTGTCCATTAATATTCTTTGACACCATCTAAGAAGGATATTAATAAGATTGACAAGATGACTTTGATAGCTGTAAGTTTCCTTAAACGGTATGAACATTGCAAACTTTCAATATCAAGCTATCAAGTTAGCAACGCAATTAGAGCTCATATATCCTCAGAATAAACCAAGCTACACACGCTATAAACATTGCAAACTATTGATATAAGATCTAAACGAGCTTTCAATTGCTGATCTTATCACCATAACCAACCTTACTACACAAGCCAAATTGAGAATATACTGTAGTAGGCGTGTGTTGCGAACCATGCTGGGCATCGCAGCCGATCCGCTTGGTGCCTGGACGCCGCAGAACGCTGACTAAATGCGGGAGAGTCGGTAGATTCTGTTCATATCTATCTGTCCATCTA